TCTGTGGAGACTTAAAACACTTGCTATCTGCTATACAGGGATCTGGAGGACCCTATACCAGATGTAGTGAATGGAGCAACAATTAAGCCTTGGTCCTTTATAGCTTATAGCTCCATTTGCATTTTCAAAATCACTTAGTGACAAAATGCCACCTCTTTCAATGTGAGGTAATACCATGGCTTTCATGGAAATCATAATGGATATTATATAGATTTTAGTTCATTTACAAGTTTAAGGGTATGGCTGAGCTGTGGTTCAGGGTAGACTGCAATGTAGTACAGAGACAGCTGATCAACCTGTGATTAGCTAGTGTTTTAACGCCAGCTGTGGCACAGATGCAGCAATGTTGATGTTTAGTGGGGCATCAATAAATGTGAAGACTGGGCCAAAGGAAGCATCACGAAGTCCCACGTGAAGAATACAAAGCTCTGCACGTTGTGTGCAACAGGCCCAAGGTACAGGCTGCAGTGGCGCTGGCTGGGAAGTGACAGAAATCTTGATGAAGTGAGCAGGGTGAAGTAAATACCAGCAAGAACAGGCATTACCTTCTCATTGCAAACATACCACATAATAGGTTATTTTCAAAGAAGTGTTGCCAGCAAATTCAGAGACATTTTTCTTCTCCTCCACTGGCCAGAACTGTAAACTTGTGGGTGCTGTTTTGCCCCTCAGTTCAAGAGCAACGTGGAGAAGCTAGAGAGGATCCAGTGGTGGAAGACCAAGTGGCTAAAGGCCTAGAGCATAGGACCTGTAAGGTGTTACTGAGGGGCAAGGTTGGGGAGAGATCGAATAGTAGCTTTGCCCGAAGGGCAATTAGAAATTCTGATGACAGAGCTCATCTGCTCTCCAGGAGGGCGATGCATTGGGACAGTTCACTGAAGATGTGTGGGACCCTCCACACCTGGAGCTTCACAATTCCTGGCTGGTCAGAGCTGCAGTGATGGTCCTGCTGCGGGAGAGAAGGTTGGACTAGTGACCTCCACAGGTGAACAGTGCTGTGGTGGCTGCAAAGGCTACAAAATCCTCCTGAGCAGCACGGCAGGGTACAGGCAGGACATTTTGCATCCCACCCACACAGCCAAGGTGTGCTGTGCTTGGGCACAGGAACACAGACATGTGTTTCATGTAGCACAGGACATAGAAACAGAAAAATGAGGAAAACAGACAAGGGAACTAGATGAAGAAATGGATCAAAGCTGATCATATTAAATTCTTAACAGTTTTGTAAAAGCTTTAAAAGATCCTATGCCATTTCTGAAGCTATTTTACGGATTTGAAATGTCTCCCTGAAACCTAAGTGAAGATGCAGTCGAACCATTTAAACCTTCTGCACTTTTTTTTGTTAGACCTTTTCCTTTTGCTTCCTCCAGTCTGCTATAGATGAAAATCAAACTATCCACAAAAGTTATTTCAAGAATACTATTATAAAAGAAGAGTTATTGGCTGAGCAAGAGTGCGAGGCTTTAGACTTAAAAAATAGATGTTTGGAAAAGCAAGGAAATAAATTACAAAAATAAATAAAAAGAGTCGATTTGAAAAACTTCCTGCGGATTTCACTCTTTTGCTTTTAACAAGTCAGGGTGACATTTTCTTCTAATAAAACAGGAAGTTTTTGAAATTTCATTCTGGAAATGAATCAAAATCCTCCAAACAAAATGTCACATTTCCCTTTGCTGAACTGCATCTTTTCATTCTGAGTCAGTGTGACATTAATTTCTACTAGCTAGAAGCACCACTGTGCCTAGCTCAGGAGACTCACGTGTTCCTTCTTTATGGCTGAGGCTCCTCATAAGGACCTCTGGATCTATCTCATCAGTTCACTTGCTGACTAGTAGTGACATAATGAGAAGGGTGCTAGAGGCTACTGCCACCAGAGGAACATGTCTTACAAGGTGGTAAACCAGACCCACCACCGCATCTCCTGCATGGATGTGTTCCCTCACTGCAGCCTTGCCCCCAGACCCATGCCCTGACCAGATCTCCAGATGGCCCAGTCTGGCTCACCTTGCATCTCTAACAGCAAGGAGAGCTTGGCCCTCAGCACGTTACCAACACACCAAACCTCCATGATCATGCAGCAATGACTATTGGCCGTGCCAAGCACCAGCATCGCGGCAGCGCAGGGTGAGGGCAGTAGGTGTTGTCACCCATCCAGCTTCCCAGCTCAGTGTCATGTGAAGTTTGCTCCTGTCCCCGGCAAGCTGCCATTCCGTCTACGGGACGGCTTAAATATTAACATGGGACAATACGCGTGTTCGGGGTGGAAGTCGTGCCTTATCTTATCGCCGCCGCGATTTCACCGCGAAGGAGCGCTGCAGAGCCTGGGCGGGCGAAACCCACGCGCACAGCCCCGTCGCGCCGCTGCGGCCGAGCAGCACGCTGAAATCCCGCTGCCCGAGCGAGCGTCACTCGGCGAGGCTCGCCAGGGAAAGCAGGTGTTGGCTCACACGAGCGCTCCCGGGAGCCACCTGCCCTGCGGGGAAAGATTTCCTCCGGGTGAAAAGGTAAGGCTAAACCTCGTCGGGGTCTCATGTTGTTTTAAAGTGCTCTGCTGATCTTGTCTGGCTTTGGCAGAGCAAAGAGTGTGGGCTGGAGTCCCTGGGTTCAAAAACTGGGCTGGTTTCGAAAACAGAGGGAGGCTTCGGGAAGGCGATCCAGGTAGCTAAGTGCTCCAAAGCGGTTACCATATTTCCTGGAGTGAGGAGCCACATCTGCTGTAATATTTAATCCTCTCCTCTGCTCCTGCAAGCTTTCCCTGGTGGCACTATCCCTAGCATGCCACAAAACCTGCTGAAAAGGAAAATCAGGTTTCAGGCAACACCTCAGGCACCGCACAGGTCTCTTCGGGAAGCAAGCACCCCGAATCGCTTAGGGAGATCTTGCTTCCAGTGAGAAAAACAGAAAGAAAATGCTCTGATCGAGGGCGAGTCACTTGAGATGAATTTTACTGGCTCAAAATGTTCCTTGTGTGAGTTGCACCTTAACCTGCGGAGTCATGGGGAATAGCAGAAGCACATGAAAAGCAGCTCAAGCCAAAGCCCGGGGATTCGGTTCACAGCGAAGCACAACGTTCCACTCTACTTGGGGACTGGATAATATTTCTCAGCCTTTGAAAGCCAGAAACAAAAAGTTATTTAACTTCTCTTTTTCTTCTCATTTCACTTTGCCCCAAACTATTTACTGATTTTGACCTGAATTCAGGCAATCTAGGCAAGTTTCTTTTTCTCCGTGAAACCTCCCCCAGCTCAATTTAGACTCATGGAGCTGGCTTGAAAAACGGGATTACAGCCGTGGGCGGCTGCTGTGACACAGAGCCGGCGCACGGAGCCGCCCGGCCCGGCTGCACCCTCTGAGGGGAGAGCAGGACACGCACCTTGGGTTTGTTTCCTGGTGGTTTCCTTGCGCTGTTGCTGTTAACACGGTGGTAATGACAACACGTAAGCACGACTGTGGGTGTGCTGGGGCTGAGGCCATGAAAGAGGAGGAGAAATCCCTCGCAGCGCCGCGCTGCTCCCTTGCCCATTTTTGTCACAAAAATGTGAAAGGGAGCAGGTATCCACGGAAATACTGAAATCCTCCGAAACGCATCAAGCGAAACCGAACCAGCTTACGCACCAACCCAGCGAGACGCTGTCGCGAAGGCCACAAAGGCGGTTTTGTTCGGCCTGCGGGGTGGCTGCGGCGCGCAGCGCTCCCTGCCCGAGCCTCCTCCTACCTAGCGCTGCCCACCCCTTCACTTCAAAAACCTCCCAGGGCTTGCGCAAAAGCACCGCTGGAAATTAGTGCGGTGCAAACGGGGGCGAAAGGTTGCCTCATGGTGTCTCATTGTGGGGATATTCGTATTTGTGCGTACCGCAGAGCTTCCTGTAAGGGACACCTCTGAAACCCATAGCACTGGCCTGACAAGAAGTTTGGGCTGGGAAACAGCTTCCTCCAGCCTGTGTGCCTTTCACAAATGCAAACTTCTATTTCCCCACTGTGTAGTTTGTAAACCAAGTGCCACAGAGATGCTGTCTCCCACATATTTTGAGGGGGAGGAGAATAATACCAGAAAAGTGAGTCACGATTAGTAGAAAAACAAAAAGTGCAGAAAGGAAGTGATGGCTCCCACCCAGTCTCCATCCTTTTTCGACACCCTCTTTGGAAATCTGCTGGTATTTCATTTGGGGATGTAAAAAACTTTCTGGGATGTGATTTGGGTCTGTAGCAATAGCCCTGGGAGCCTTCTGCTGCCTTGCTAAGTCTGATGGCTCAGGCTAGGTGCTAGGGAGGAGGTTCGGTGTTTCTTCCGTTGCCCCAGGCATGATGGGATGCAGGAGTCATTCTCCTGCCCACGGAGCAGCAGTGATGGTAGGGGTCCTTCCTAGGTAAGAGAAGACATGGTTCAGGTGAATAATTCCAGCTGTTACCCCTGGAAGAGGTCAGGACTCTCCCTTTCCAGGGTCTCTGCATCAGCTCACCCTTTGCAAGCGGAGCAGTTAGTCTTCCTATCAGCAGTGCCCTGTGCAAGCTGGAGGAAGCCTGCTGGGCAGTACAAACAGGCATACTAGTTTTTCAATTAAATGCTCAGAGGAAATAATTGCAGAACGGCTTTTTTTTTAGGGGGTGTAGTGTTGCAGTGGGATATATTCCTGCTTCCTCCTCCTCTCCTCCTCCTCCACTGTGGCCATAAGGAAAGTTGCCTGGTGCAGGAGGCCTCGCACAGTAGCACTGAAGTATCTACGGGTGCAAGAGATGTGAGGTCTGTCGGGTGAAGGGTGCTCTGCTAAAGAAAGGTGTGTGGAGTGAAAGCTCATCTACTTTCCAAAGAGTTGTTCTGATAAAAGATACTACATTCCCCCTAAACCCTGCCTTGCTTAATCATCTCCGCTTGTTTGTAATATAGGTCGCACAAAGTCACATTTTATCATAAAATGCAAAGCAGAGCTCATTACTGAGTTTCTCAATAGGTTAAATCCTTTGGTTTCTTCTTAAACACGCAGTGACTGCTCATGACTTTCTGTCTTAGGGACCAGGAGAGGATGCTCCCATGGAGAGGTGCCAGAAATTCATTTTACTTCCTTTCATCTTATTGGCCTCACTAACAGGTAGGACACACTCATAACCCGTGAAATGAGCCAGTGTGGAAAAAATGTGTGAACTGATTTTAAAGCCATGTAAATGGCAGTAACTGGCAATATCATATTGAACAGTAAGTCCCCAGGGGGAGTCATTTAAAAGTGTTTAAGATGGATAACATTCCATTTCAAGCCTGAATGATCTCATGGCTTTGAGTGGGCTAGAGTAAGCAGGAGTGAGCAGTGGATGGGGTGGGGAGGGAATGGGGTCTGCCCTCTCTCTTCCAATGAGATGGGTCATTCTGCTTATTCCTCCCTCTCCTTATTCTCATCCTCCTCCTGTCTGCTTTAGAATGGGTCCTGAGGGGTCATCTGCATGAGCGCTCAGTATCAGCAGCTGATTTTGCTTCCAGGAATATGTGCAAATTATCACTTCGCTCATTTGCCTCCAATTTGCATTCCGCATGCCTGAATTTCAAAGTGGATTCACATGAAAGAAATCTTGGTGGCAGAGCTTTAAAGAAAATGTGAATATGAAGTAACTTGTTGGGTAATGGAAATAAGGCTTATTTGTTTGCTATAGCAGAGCTACAGTTTTCATACAGTTTTTACAGGCTCAAAAAGAAAAGAATAACAGTGGGATAAGAGGAAAGGTATTGATGTGGCTTAATACCTGGTGAAAAGAAACACAATGCAGAGAAAATGGTGAAATTTCAGGGTGGAGTGGTATTCCCAGTGGAGTTGTGCACAGCTCTGTGGTTTCAACAAACTCTTAACCAGCCCAGTGGAGTGAAATGTGAGGTGGCAGACTTTGCAGGTGGCAGAGTATTACTCTGGGCAGCCAGATCCAAAAAGAGACTATGAAGATTTGCAAGAAAATGTCACGATGCCGAGTGAGTAAGTAATAAAGGAGCGGAAAAAAATCAATGCAAAGCATCACTTAAGTAAATCTCTCTAGTGGGAAGAAGAATAGACATCTTGGAGACTGTGAACAATTTGCTGAAAAAGAGAGAAAATTTCGCTGCCTAGTGTCTTCAGCAAGGGAAGTACAATGAAACCTGGTATTATATAAATCCACGGAAAGCTTTTATCTTGATTACTGGATGTTGTGTTAGCCATTATTTCAAGAACATATTAAACCTGAGAAAGGTATAAAGTGTGAAAAGGGTAATCAAGTTATGATGAGAAGCTTCACTAGACAGATTTTTTTTCAGCTTGGGAAAAAGAAGAAATGTTTATGCCTTATAAGTAAAGGCTTATTAAAATGATTTATTATACGGGGGTGAATGGTGGAATTCACAAATTCTCATAACAAAAAGAACTGGGGATGATGAGTAAAACTGTCAGAGAGAAGGTTTAAAGCAAACCAAAGGATATGCTTTTCCTCACAGCATGTAATTAAATAGTGAAGCTCAGGCCAGATGCTACAAGGGATCACAAATTATAAATAGGCTGAAAAACATATTAGATAAATTCATGGAGGATAAATCCAGTGCTGCATATGCAATCACTGGCTCAGTCAGCCCCTAAATCTTCCAGTTTGGAAAATGAGAAGTTATAACAGGGAAGCCTCAATTTTCACCTGCACTGTTTCTTACATTGCCTAAGCATCCTAAGCACCCGCAGCCGGCAGGATTGGAGGATTTCTGTCACCCTTCGCTAGTGCTTTTCCTCACCTTGACCGTGGGGTGTTGCTGGTGGCAATGGGTGCTCCTGGCCCAAGAACTCCATGATGGAAGACAAGAGACAGTGTGGGAGGAGGAGGAGGAAGAGAGGTCTGGCAGCGGGCCTGGGAGAGCTGAAATGGACAGTTGTTAGTGAAGCACAGAAGAGATGGGAACACACATGCAGGGGCTGTGGAGCGCAGGCTTGTGTGTGTGTGGGATCCCGAGTACCAGTGCATTGCTACTACTTGACAGAAACATCCTATTAGCTTTTTAAAAGGCTTGTTAACATAAGCAAACAAACAAGTCTTTCTCTGCAGGCCTTGACAACACAGCTCAAGCTTATTTCGGTTTTCAAAAAGCTTAGCTTTGGGGCTGTTGGTTTTTGAAATGAACTTGAGGCGTGCTGAAGAAAAACAATTTATTGCAGAGTTCTTGCAGAAGCAGTGGGAGAAGTGGGAAAGCAATGAGGCAGGGAAGGCATAAAATAAGGATGGGTGTGAAGTAGGAACCAAAGAAAGAGTAAAAAGAAATTTAAAGCAGATTGAAAGGAAAAAATGTAGAAAGCCAAACAGCATTTTGAAATACTATAATGAGGCTGAAAAAGGTATCATTAGGACAACAGGATAAGTCTATCCTGCTCTTTGCTGTGTTTCATCTGACCTGATCACACAGTGTCAGCTGAGGAGAGCAGGGGAGGCAAAGATGGCCTCAGTGCCCTTCCTGATGAACCTTCAGCTTGGAAAAGTGGACCCTTAGTGAGAGCTAGTTCAGACAGGGAAGGAAAAATGCTGGTGACAAAGTGTGGTTCTTTGGCAAATAAGGTTCTTTCAGCACAGGCGTCCTCCACTAAAGCCCTGAAAACAGTGAACGAGAAGCGCTTTTTATTTCCTCAGAACCCACTGTGATGACCATGACAGTGAGTTTTTGTGGCAGAGGAGGGAATAAACAGTTCATAAAAGGGCTGATGTATATTCTGGGTGCTGTTGGGAAAGACTGAACAACTGAAATACCACAAACACCTTTTAATTATGCTTTGGCCTGTAGTTATTTCATTGTAAACATTTAGTGACATGCCACCGGAAAGGTGTCCTAACTCAACTTTCTTCTTCCAAAATAAAGGTAATGCAGGGTCGTGTAGACAGCCTAAAGTCTCCCTTACTGCAAAGGCATCAGTAGAGACATTTGTCTGGATAGGAGTTCTTCTTGGCTGTGTGTGTGGAAGCAGATGTTAAACCAGCTGTTAAGAGATGAACACATAGTTCTTGCAAAGTGCAATGAAAATCTAGCCTGAGGCCTCAATTTGTCTAAAAGTAACTAGCTGCAAGATATTTCTCAAGCAGCATGTAAATGAAATTAGCACTGAAATTTACTCCTTAGCATAAGAAGCAAGGACGAGCAGAGAGGAGTTACAGCACTGGGTGAAAGCAACTGGCTGTAGGTCCCTGTTCTGTCACATATGTCCTCTTTGACCTTACACAAGTTACTTTATCAGTGTTTGTACAGGCGCTGGACAATGGGACCCACTCTTAGTTTTGGACTCCGTGTGCTACTGCAAGATAAAAAAACAATAAAAGCAAAAAGATAAAGGGGTAAGGTTACAGCCCCTGGAAGTGCGTTGGCAGCAGGTGGAGGATAAGGCTCCTCCAGGTAGCTCCGAAATGCACCATACCTGTGCACTGTTCAAAATCACTGTGTTAGGTAAATGAAGGAATAATTCGTACTACTTGCTTGTACTGTCTTGACTAGCTGATCAAGACAAAAGCAATATTAGTCAAATATTTTTAGGGTAGATGATCGCTGGTTATTCAAGTTTAGGTCTAAATTTGAGGACCATAATGGAGCTCATAGACATGATCTCACTGTAAATGGTAGATTAACGGCAGGCGGTGTACTGAAACATCATTTATTCAGAGTCATAGCAAGCCATTAGTCTCATTAAGGAAGTAAAGTATTTACACAAGCTATGAATAAAATACAAATGCATAGAGATCAATTTTTGTTAATAGGGATAGTATGGATAAATACCTCCATGCTTTGCTATGCATCTTCTGGTTTATGGGCAGCAAAATAAAAGCTGTTGATTCTAAGAAGGACTGTGCATGGCTCTGTCCCTCATCATGATGGCTTTTTATGTTAGCTTCAATCAGTCAGGAAGAATTCAAATAAACTGTGAAAATCCAAAAGTTCGGTATGTCAACATGTTACAGACCCCATGAGACATACTATTGTAGTAGTGTTGTAAAGACAAGTTACAATTAGATTCAAGGAAGAATAGATAATTCAAAGGCTCATTTGAGCTCAGGACAGTGTCTCAACCTCAATAATATCACTTAGGAATAGAAATTATGGTTACTTGGTCTAGAATACCAGGAAAAGGATGATAGTAAATGAAAAATAGTTTCTTTGGAATGCACCTCCTCATCAATGAGCTCCCACTGTAATTCTCAATGCAATGAGAATGAGAAAACTCATAGTTCTGGGGATGATGTCATCCACAGACATGCAGAGAATCCCTGTCATGCAGAAAGTGACAAATAGAAAAGAGAATAAACAGGTTTTAGCTGCTTTTCTGGATTAGCTGTTTATAAAGCAGTGCATTCAGCTGTGAATATAAATTTGATTGCTGAGGTAATCTTCAAGCTGTTGCATGTTTTGAAGCATTACAGTTCACCTTTACAAGGCTCAAGAGATCTCTGAATGACTTAATGGAAAAAATGAGCCATTGAATTTGAACTGAAATATGCTTTATCCTGTATTATCTGGCTTTATTAATTATCAGTAGAAGTGGAGTTTACTTTTGATTTAATCTTTTATTGTTCACGCTCAGATATGCTTAGAATAATGCTGTACATGGAAAAGCTAACAAACCCAGGAAAGTGAAAAATATTTTTAAAGCTTTTTGTAAACATGAGAGAACTCAAAGTCAATCCCGCAAGTAGAGAAAGAGGGCTAGGTTTATACAAGCCAGCAAAACAAAGAATGAGAAGATTCTCATATGTAAATGCACTCAGAGGGTGGGAGGAAAGAGGGAAGCTATTTATATTGCAGAATGTTTTTTGACACAAACCAGAGTAGATACAAACAGCCTAAAATTAAATGTGAGCTGGAAATTAGAAAATGATGTTGACATCGGAGCAATGAGATTATGGACCATATGCTTTGAGTGTGTGTATGCAGGTTCGGGTTGCAGCATCATAGCTGAGACTGGGGCTGGTTGTATTCATACAAGGTCTCCTTTGGGTGAAACAACACAACACATCCTGCCTTGCCCATGATAGCTAATGACTGAATGAAATGAGAATTTTGCAGTAATTTGTAAATTAATCTGTTAATGAATAAACTAAATACCTAAAATGAACAAAACCTGGGTCATTCAAAAAGCACTTAATTGTTCTGAAGGGTCTTAGTAAGGGAATAACAGCTATTTCAGACTTACTTTCTTCTAGAAAATAGCTGAATGCTTACACTTAGGCAAAATTGGCAGACATGGGGTTTTAATTACACTACCATGGGTTGTAGTATGTAATTGCAGTACTTAGGCAGATTATAGCCTGAATTATCAGCGTGGCACTGGCAGTCCCTGTGCTTCCTCTGGATGAATGTTTCCTAGTAAGTAAAGAAGAACTTACTGATGAGATGGACCTCTCTGGCAGGACTGTTTGGTCTGCAGGGAGCTTGTGAAATCTTTGTTTGAAAAACTCATTCAAAATAAGGATAATAAGGCAGTGGAGCAGGTTGCCCAGAGAGGCTGTGCAGTCTGTATCCTCGGAGGTTTTCAAGAACCTGGTTTGACTCAGACTTGACCCTGCTGTGAGCAGAAGATTGGGCTGGAGACCTACTGAGGTCCCTTGCAATCTAAATTATCCTGTGATCATTTGGTCAGTAATACTCCTCCTTTAAAACTATTGATAGTACCTCTGCCTTTGCTGCACTGCACATGGAAAAAGCATGCTCAGGGGACCTGAGCCAAAATCCATAGGTAGGTCACAAAGTATGAAGACCCAGGGAAGCAGGTTACTAATTTTGCACAGTGCTGCTCTCAAGCACTTACTCCTAAGATACCAAACCAGGAACCTGGATGTTCTTCATGTCTGAAGTCTTGTCGCTCAGGGAAGACGAGGGTGTATGAAATCATCTTTCTGAAGATGAAGCTTTAAGAACTGCTCACTTCCAAAATGGCATCTATTTCCTTGGGTTGTTTCAGGGACTGCAGTCACAACTGCTGTCTTGAAAAGTCAGTCTCTGCCCTAGTCTTGCTTTTGCTCTCTGCTTGCAAGTGCTTTTGCGCTCCCACGCAAGGCAAGGGCACTTCTGGGCAAGGGCAATGGGAGGCCATGGCTATAGAATCATAGAATCCTTATGGTTGGGAAAGACCTTCAGCATCAAGTCCAACTGTAAAGCCATCACCACCAGGCCTGCTAAACCATGTCCCTAAGTGCCTCATCTACACGTTTCTGCAGCACTGCCGGTGACGGTGACTCCACCACTTCCCTGGGCAGCCTGTTCCAGTGCTTCAACACTCTTT